CCCCCCCCCCCCCCCCCCCCGGGGAAAAATTCACCCTGAATCATAGGCTGCATTTGATCTCTTTACAGCGCAGTACTTCTTGGGCGATACCTATCAAGTGGACTCTGCTTATGAAATGGTTCATCAGGTTCAAACAAAAGATGACAGCTTCAGGAGTAGCTACTTGCCAAACTAAAAATTCCCCCTACTTTAATCCCCGTATGTGCTTGTTCATAACATGAGACTATGCGAGGTGCTGTCTCACAAAGTTGCTCTTTGGGGGACCAGCTATCCACTGCCGGGTCGCGGTATTCCCATCTGACTCTCTACGCTGTTGACTTGGTCTCCCTCTCCTACTGGTTCGCAGCTTAGCCTGATATATACGCGGGGTTAATGCCATATCTACAATCTATACCCAGCAGGATCATTGATCTTCACGAAGGGAACGGTTGTCCCAAATTAGCAGGCAATAGCTTTGAAGCATGGAAGACCAGGTAAGTGCATGTGTAGGATGTACCGTCAGCATCTCCCTTGACATCTAATACTTCCCATTGGTCCTTTGAACGCAGTAGAAACGGTTTGCGATGGTTGTCTGTAAGCAGGTAGAATTCATCGACTGCAAATGTGAAAGGTCTGTAGTGCGCATTTGTTGTGCTGTATATCTTGAATTGTGCATGTCTAATGTTCCCAGTGACTTTCCGCAGGTCTTTCCCATCCTTCAGTGCAAACTCACGATTGCCGCGCTGGAGCCTTTGAATCTCTCATCCAGATTTACTCCACATATAGGCTGCCGTGGTTTCCAACCCTTATGCAGCTCGTTAGGCGTGCTGCCGGTCGACAGGTGCACTGAGTTATTATATGTACTGGCTACCTTAGGGAGGTGCTCGTCCCAATCTACTTGATGCGGTTTAATGTACGTACGCAGGGTGTGCTGTAACAACTTATTTAACTGTTTCATTGGGCCATCAGTTTCAGGGTGTCTATCTGAGGACATGGTGAACTGCGATCCATACACTTTCGTGAGTTGCTGCAAGTGTTCCCCCGTAAACCTAACATCTCTATCCCTAGCTTAAGGTCAAGGGATGGCTGTTGTCCTTTACCCAATGCGCAAACAACTTACGGATTACCAAATCAGTTTCGGCTTCTGCAGGCAAAGGAACGACTTCTGCATACTTGCTGAATCGGTTCACGATGACCATAACTTGCTTTATTCCCATTTCTGCTTTTGACCTTAGTATCCGTAAAGTCTAAAGATACTGATTCTTGAGGTCCTTCGGCATACTCTGCAGTTTGACGTCATTCCGCGTCATTTGCACTAGGCTAGTAGCGCAGCGAGCCAGCATAAGGTTTTTTAAGCCAAATTGTCCCTCAGAATTGTAGGATTCCCCCAAGATGATACTGTTGATCTCTTCACTAGTGCATGGGTCCTGGAGACCATCTCACGCAAGTGTGTACATGCCATGCATCGTTCTCCCACACACATCGAACAGTAGTCTGATAATAGACAAAGGTAGAGAAGATGAGAACCGAGTTTCACAGCTTATTTTATCAAAAATATGAATACAAAGTGTTTCAAAGTTTCCCTGAGTCCAGCGCTCATCAGCGTAACACCAATATCTTGCCAACTCATCAATATGCCTTCCAGTGAATCAGTGCTACCCCTGCAGATAGTCTCCAAGTCATCAATGTGGTCACCACTCA